AAGTTGAGATTGCAAAAGAGAAAGTGAGTCCTCTCCTCCCTGAATTAGGGAGTGGAACCAACCCTACACACTCATTCTCTGAACTCAGAAGTTTGTCCATAAGATCACCGTTCAGAGATAGCTGGCTGAGGGCCCTCCCTGGTGGCGCAGCGGGTTAAAGCACAGCACTAAGAAGCATAAACCACTTCCGCATGGGTTCGATCCCCGCCTGCCCCAGAGGTGAACACATGGCGTGGCAGACCTCTCCTGACCCGCCCGCTGCTCCCCTCAGCAGTGTGCTTCATCTATCTGCCTGTTCTGCTCCCCGCTCTGTGTGTGGAGAACCCTCTCACCCAGCGCATCTCTGGCCTGTACCCCATTTCTGTATGTATAAATAAAAAATTTAAAAAAAAAAAAAAAGAGAGATAGCTGGCTGAGAAACACATTCCCAATTTGACTGACTGAAGAATACTGCTAATCTCAAGAGGCCTAGTTTTCCCCTGGAGCTAAGACTGTAGAAAGATCAGGTAGAAATAGACAAATAAATAAAAAGGAAAAATGTGGCGGAAAGGAGCCGAGGATGACTATGGAGCTCACTTTCATCCCAAATGGGATTGTTCCCTTTGGAACAGTAACCCAATGGTTCAGGCTCTATGCAAGGTCAAAAATTAAAGAAATTCAGAATATGTATTACTCTCTCATATCTGTCTGCAACTTCTGTCTTGCAATGGTTCAGGCTCTATGCAAGGTCAAAAATTAAAGAAATTCAGAATATGTATTACTCTCTCATATCTGTCTGCAACTTCTGTCTTGCAATGGTTCAGGCTCTATGCAAGGTCAAAAATTAAAGAAATTCAGAATATGTATTACTCTCTCATATCTGTCTGCAACTTCTGTCTCGCACTCTTCATCTGGCAATCGGTGCTCATCCCTCACCCCTCAAACCTCAGCCTGAGCGCTGCAGGTCTGGAAGCTTGTGCTGCTCCTTCACTCTCCCCAGTCAGGTGTCGGTGCCTTTTCATGCCATTTCTTGCTAGGGAGGGAGGAGATATCTCTGCTTTTAAGATGGGGAATAGTAGCCAATGGAAATCAAGGAGCCTAAGTTTAGCCTTGGCCCCTAGAGACTCCTGACCTGTTCTCTGAGGGGAGCTGCCATTCTGAGTGATTCCCAGACCTCACTATACTGGGGACAGGAATACTGTCAGAGGTATCGTGCATTCATGAGTGCCACCCCCAGCTGCCATCTGCTGCTACATTGGCAGAAGGGCTTTTCTGATGGATGCGGCTATGCAGGTAAGTGGGTTTGGAAGTATGTCCCACAGAGCTCACCATTTCTGTCACTCTTAACAGGTTACTGAGATTTGCAGCTCAGGAACACTCTGGAGGCCCAGGCCTCACCCAGCGGCCCTGATGAAGCTTTGGCAACCCTGCATTTGGCTGTGGATGCCTGCCCATCTGTCACTTTGTTCCCCATCTGGGAGCAATTGATCCTTACATGTACAGTCCCTTTGTCAGGAAACTACAAAAGGATGGATAGTGAACAGGAGCTTCTAACTTCTGACTACATCCCAAACATCTAAGACTCCCTCTGTGCTTCTTACAATGCACCATAACTACCTGTCTCCTTCATTAGACAACAAATTCCCTGAGAAACTATTATTGATTTTTGTATCCTCATTGCTTAGCACAAAGTCCAAATATATATTAGGTATTCACAAAGCGTGAATGGATGGATGGGTGGATGAGACTAGCCATTCTTGGACCTATTTCATCAATTTATCCTCTGGCTACATCTCTCCGCTCCTGCCACATAGTCCCTAAGTGTTCCCTCCACAACCTGTGCTTGGCCACCTCTGTGCTTACCCCTGCTGGGTATGTCATCTGTAAAGCCCTCGGTCCCAGTTCAACATTTAACTCCTCTATTAAGTCTTTTCCAAGCAATTTTGCCCACACTAATTTCCTTCTCTAAAAACCTTTTCATGGTGCTGTACTTTGTTGTTTGCTAATTGATTTTAAGTATGCAAGAGTTTTTCACTAGATTATATATAACTTGGTCTTGACTAACTTCTTTGAGACATCATCAGGAAGGGTGTCGTTTGCAAGTAAAAATGCATCTTCCCCCCCATAATTTGAATGAGGTGGGTAAGTCACTTACCCCTACAAGGCCTTAGTTTCCTTATTTGTGAATAAAAGGGAAGAGTGATAACCATCTGCTTTAATGTGTTCCAGGTATTATAAGGATCAAAATAACATCATGGCATCTGGAAAAAATAAAACAAAACTGATATACAATTATTACCTATTAGACTGTATAATAAAGCCAAGATCAAGGAGCTTAATGTTTATAGACTTACATCATAATGATTATGTTGCTCATATGCATTTTATTAATGAAGGTTGAATTTTTCTTACTGCAACTCTAACAAGAAATATTATTTGCAGTGATAGGTAGGTGACTTGTGCCTTTAAACTTACTTCAGGGAGGGTCAACAGACTGGAAATGTTTGAAGATACTTGGAAAGTAGTTTTATAATTTTCAAGTTTATCATTATTGTATTGCTCAAACTAAATTATTGTTTATTAGGGATGTTTTAGTGTATCTACTCTGCTATGACAAATTTCCATGGAGGGGCCTCCCTGGTGATACAGGGGGTTAAGTCTCAGATCTATGAAGCTATCCACAGCCACTGTGGCATAGGTTCGATCTCCAGCCAGGGAGCTGACCCACATGGCACAGCAGACCCCTCCTGGGTCACTTGCTGCTCCCCTCAACCGTGTATTTCTGTAGATCTGCCTGTTCTGCTTCCCACTGTCTCTGGTGGACCCTCTCATTTCCCCCACCCCCTTACCCCAGCTTTTGTATGCATAAATATATCTTTAAAAAATTCAATGGAGACTGAATGTTTTATAAACAACAGCAATCTATGGTTCATAGTTATGAGTTGGGAAGTCCAGGATCAAGGTGCCAGTATATTTTGTCTGCTGAGTGCCTGCTTCCTGGTTCATAGATGTCAGCTTCTCACTGTTTCCTCATATAATACAAAGGACACTTTAGGGTTCCTCATATAAGGGCATTAATCTCGCTCTTCAGAGCTCTCTACCTTCAAGATACAATCATTTCCCAGTGCCCCCCCCCTTCCTAATATACCATCGCATTGGGGATTAAGATTTTAACATGGATTTAGAGGGATACATTGTCTCTATTGAGGAATTTATAATCCAACAAGGGAATTACCAAAAACTTTATTCTTATTCATTTCCTTACTATTACTTACTTGTAACTTTATTAACTTGGATTTTGATCCCGTATAGACTTATATAAAAGTTGGATAGGACTTCTTATCCCCATTTTCTGAGTGGCAATGCAGAAGTTTACTGAATTTGAAGCCACTGAGTCAGAACCACGAACAAACTCACATGGTGTGAAGGCTTGTTTCTTTTCTAATAAAAGAGGTGAAGCAATAAGACCTAGATTATAAGTAAAATGCAAGTTGGTTAATGTTTAGCCTTTCAGGCATTTAGGTTTGCTTAGGTACGAGACTTAAACATTTGCTTAAAATGAAAGTCCTGGATTATATCTGCATGGTTTCTGTACATTATTCCTATTTATTCTATTCTATACAACCAAGAGTTCTGGATATGGTGATGAATATTCAGCATATCTGTGCTGCCACATGGATCTTTGAGCCAATTTTCTTTGCATAATACTAAATTTAACAAGGAAAAATTTCCAAATATACTAGGTTAATAAAGAATGTTGACATTGTACAATAATAAATCTTCTAAGATTGACTCAACCTTCTAAGATTTTTTTTTAAAAAAGATATTTTACAAAATGGCATTCAGTGCAAAGCACAAAGAAGCAAAAGTAAGGTGAATTTTAGGAAACAGAGTAACACAAACTTAGGTTCATTAACATAAATTATGTTTCATAACATTTTTAAGTTCACCAACTGAAGAAACAGAATTATTTATACTAGAATATTTCAGAATATGCTATAAGATTACCAAGCCATGATGTATATGGGGTTCTGTATGTGCGCATATTTTTCTGTGTGGTTCAAAATAGAAATGTGAGATAATACCCATTTTCTTTGATTTAGAAATTACATTTTAGAATCGAATAGTATTAATTTTAAACTAAGCATATGTAAATAGATAAGTGAATGGGAGGATTTAATAACCTTTAGTTAAATTAATTAACATGGATAATGTTGTGTGAAAGGGTAATCATACTATTCAGTGTAATTCCATCTCTGAATCAACTTATGAATAGTGGCTAAGTGTGTGTGTGTATCATTGTTGTCTAATAAAATAACAAAAATGCCTGGCTATTTAAATTAAAATTCAGTGACATTTAAAACTCAGGTCCTTACTTGCACTATATATATTCAAGTGTTTAAAAACTGCACATGACTTGTGGCTACTGTATTAGATATAGGAGAAACAGGACATGTTATAGAAAGTTCTGTTAGACAGCACTACTTTCTGCTGACAGATTGGGCTAGTAAAGATTTCAAGGATTCCCTGTGAATCCCTGGGTGACTCCCTGTGGGGACAGTTCAGCAAATTTTTTCCAAATGTTTTCTCCTATTCAAAGTTTCCAAACATGGCAAGTTCTAAATTACAAGTTTTTGTTTAATAACCTCTCTCTACACCATGGATGAGCAAAGAGAAATACCTCTGACTTTAACGCAAGCTATTGGGCATAAAAACTTTCTTCTGGGGCATGCTTTCTTATTGGTCATGTAGCTTTAAGTCAGTTTCCAAGAATTTATAAATGATGTTAAGTAAGCATTTAACTATGTTTTAATTGTTACACACACACGCGCGCGCACACACACACACACATACACACCTAAGTCTTAGTCATTACAAGTCATTGTATATCTTCTTCAGTCACTGCTTTAACATTGGCAGAAGAAACTTTGAATCTGCTATTTGAGGAAGATTGTAATTTAATGGAGTAAATTATAATTGTTATCACAATTGCAACAACAGATTTTTCATTGAGGAACATACACCTTTGAATGCATGGTACTTTATTTAGACACACATATATACAATGACGAAGGGAAACTCTGCACTGTTGAGCAGAGGGGCTGCATGCATTGGGAGGACAGGCAGATTCTAGTTTTAATGGGTGAAATACGGGAGGAAAAGTAGGCTAAGACAGGAGAGCAAGTTTCATTTCCCATCACCACATAGAAGGGTCTTCCAGCCTGTCAAACAGAAGAAGCAAATAATGTAAGAGAAGCTTCCCAACTTCCTCCGAGGTTTGCATGAGGAAACATCCCATTTTGAACTGAAAGATGATCAGAAACTGGAAAGACTGCTGTAGGCATTCTAAACTGGAGGCCACGTAGAATATTAGAGTGGAGACGGGGATAATGTGCAAAGACCCAACTGAATAGCTTTCACTCATGTTAAGGATTTAAAAGACTACATTTATCAAAGAAGCCAAAGAACTCTGTAACATTTCTGAAGAAGAAAACTACAGGAATCTCACAAAACTGTAACAAGAGAGTTATTGTTACCGAACTCTGAATATGCTTCCTTTGTTTCCCTGCATAGCTTTGTAGTAGTAAGATGCTATTTATTAAGCTACACAGAATGCCTTTAAATAAAATGGTATTCACAGGCACTTCAAGGCTTTCAAGTTTCGTCTTGTAACTGCCCATGACTGAAGCTGCCAATCAGTGCAATTAGCTTTATCTCATACACCAACTGTGCAAGTTTGGGCCACAAAATGAAAAGCAGAAGCAAGCTACAAGTAGGTCTAGGTGGTCCTTTTTCTAACCCTAAATTAATCTAGCTTATCCTACACTTTTTACAAAGGCAATCACATAAGCCTGTCGATGAGACATGAAAAAATATTGACTGACTGGTACTTAAAAACAACCCTTACTATCTCAGTGAGCTGGAAGACAATTAAAAAGAAATAAAAAACAAACAAACAAAAAGAAATAAAAAAACAACTTTTGTGAATTTTCTACCTGCTTCCCTTGCATTTTCTCTTCTATCTAGGCTGGCAATTCCATAGGCATGAGCATTGGAATTTTGTCCCAGTCCAAATGGCTTTTCAGAGAAAGCCTATCTGAGTCTAGATTTGAACCCATCCTCCTTTCTGGAAAGAACTGAGGTTGTGCCAAAGGGAAGGTAGGTTGTTGAGCTGGTCCAGTCTTCTAGTTTGATCTCTCAGAACCTCAATGAAGAGTGACACTCGTCACATTCACTGAGCAAGTGTTCTAGTGACCTCTTCTGGGGAACTTGGTTCTTGACTGCATGCAACTCTGGACTGAAGACAGACAAGCTACCAAAGAAATGGATGCACCATGTGTGTGGGTAGAGGCAGGAAACAAAGGACAAAAGAACCAGGGATTTACAAAAACAGGGAGGTTCAGGTTATTTTCAGCAGCACTTCTTGTCCAGAGGCACACTTCTTGTCCAGAGGCACTGGAGAATCCTAGCCCAGTGGGTGACAGTTACACATTAGTAGGCATTTCTACCCATCATACTCCAGGAAAGCCCCTAGGCTGCAGATAGAACCCTAAGAATAACCTGTCATTCAATCCTCATTCACTGAATGCAAAACATTTCCAACTGACATCAGCTGAGCTAAAATATATCCACACCACGATTTATCTATAGCTTCATGCAAAATCAAGAAGACTAGAGTGGATACATGAAGGACATTTCCTAGGATATCTCGATAGCTAGTTTTTACATAAATGTGCAAAAACTAAAGATTGCCCAGCCAAAGATGATGACTGGTCATTTTAGTGTAGAAAGGGGGACTCACTCTTCATTCCCTCAATTCTAACAGAAGTTTTCTACAGACTAACTTCTGAGGTAAAAAATGTCAAAGGTACACCAAACAATATGGGTAGGTAATATTACCCCACTGAAGTTTAGAGATTTGCAAATAAGTGTGTGAAAAGAAAGCCATTCCCTGTGCCCATCTATGCCTTAATCCTACTCTGTTTGGAAAAGTCTCATTCCAACACCTTCCAGAGGCAGCCTTCTCTTGACCTCACCCCCACCCCCTACCCCCAGGCCCCTTAGTTCTGCAACAATGGCCCCACTCATTTCATACCTAGTTCTGGGAACATTTTCTGTGCTTTCTCTCATCAAGAGGTCTGAAATCAGTGTCTCAGGGCTAGACCGTTTTCCATATCTAAAAAAAAAAGGAAAGAAAAATCCTTTAAAGCAAGTTTATAATAACCATAACAATCTTTGGAAATAAAAAAGATAGCCTGTCATATAAACATAATTTCTAGTTGACCATCTGATAATATGCAACCCAGGCATATGAGGACTAATTTTCATAAACATAAATATAATTTGAAGTTAAATATATATATTAAAATGTGCTTAAATACTTAAAAAACAGCATAATATTTAAACACAAACCAAATTTCTGTCAAATCCTTGACTTTTATATGTTACCATAAGCAGTATGTGTTATACAGATATACTTCATTAACTAGGTGAGAGATGTATAAAAATACATCAAAGTATAATTCCAAACTAGTTTGGATATTAGTTAATTGGATATAGTTTTGATGTTATACAGTAGTTTAATTCTAAGCAGATAGTTTTGATGATATACAGTAGTTTAAATCTAAACAGAGAGAATAAATTACATTTGATCCATCTCTGAATCAACTTATGAATAGTGGCTAAGTGTGTGTGTGTATCATTGTTGTCTAATAAAATAACAAAAATGCCTGGCTATTTAAATTAA